TATTATTATATTTCTTTATATATTATATATTTCAAAACTATTATGTATATATTAAGTATGATATTTCAAAACTCTTATTTTTCATTATATTATATATATTTCAAGAATATTATATATTTTATAATATTTTTATATTATTATATTTTTTTATATATTATATATTTCAAAAATATTATGTATATATTATATATGGTATTTCAAAACTCTTATTTTTCATTATATTATGTATGATATTTCAATTTTTATTATTACGTTTATTAGTTTTCTTTAAAAGAAGTTTTGCCGTAACTTTCTTTAGTTCCTTCTTCCTCTCTTACGTTATGTTACAGATAACGAACATTTATCGTATGAATATAATAATCCATGTAACATTGGCGTAACATTGTCAAAATTCATGTACTGTACAACGTCGCATTTCACATTTCTATGAAAAGATGTCGTACTGATAATTTCTTACTTATCTCTCCATCGAAAGTATAGATAAAAATACACCAATAAGAAGCTTTTCTGAATAAAAAATGAAAAATGACGTTAATGCACATGTCAACGTTTCAACCTGCTCGCTTCGCTTTTAACTTCCTTCCACCGTTGCAATATCCCTTTCTCCCGCACAAGTTTTCCACTTTCTTCTCTCATCTTCGTTCTTCCCTGTTTGATTCTCATTTTTACGCACTTCGGTGCAAGGGAGCTTCGGTGTTCAGAGAGAGGGGCCACCCCCGTTTTTTGCCTGATGGGCTCGCATTCCAATGGAGTCGGAACACCCACACCCGGGTGTTCCTTCTTTGGATTTTCTCGGCTCGCGCGCAGATTTATGAAAGCAATTCGATTTTATCGCTTATTGCTCGAACTCGCCCGATATTCGTGATGTTCCGCGCCCACCTCCGCAGAAGTTCGCCACCTTTCCTCTCCCCGTACCTCTCCACATACACTTTCTTACCAAGTTCTATTTTCCCCCACTCTGATAAGAGACTTTCTTGTTCACCAAGACTGTTCTCGTTCTCAATAGAATTAACGGCCAGCTTCCAGGAATAGCTAATTTCCCATGGACTTTTTCCCCTCTGACTTGTTTCTCGATCATCAATAGCTATCTTTCGTGGATTAACGTATTTGACAATGTTCATTTTTGTCCTGTTCGTTTGTCCCTTTGACCTATCCTCAGTGGCCAAGTGCTGTTTAGAAACGGTCAGAATTTTTATTTTCCATCGATCCAAGCATAAATAAAGTGCACTTTTATCCACTCGTGTCTATTTTCGCATCCACTTTTTCGCATATATCCTCTTTTATTTTATTTTATTTTTTTTTTTTTGATTGGTTCAAGCAATGCACAGGTATCGAATACTTCTGATTATTAGAATCGATTATTCTTTTTCGATTTAAAACATTCATCCATTCTTCCCTTTACTAACTCAAACTGTTGGAAATATGAATGCTGGAAGATCGAAGAATGAATCATAATTGACCATCTTTCGTTCAAAAAATATTTCTACATTTGCTTGTGCCTATTATCGTCTGTTCAAAATGTGAGAGATTTTCTTTTAAACCATTTTCAATAGGACCAGGTATGAATAATCGTCATTGGCTCTCCTCTTTCAGTCTAAAATAATTTAACTTTGAAATTCCGCCAATGCTCATCCGATATTAATGTATTTTTTTCTAGTTCTCTTGTTTACTCTACGGAACAATCATTTACAAATATTTTCTGTCGTGAAAGATCATCTTTCGTCATCTTCCTTTGATGCAACTTTGAACAAGCTCAATTTTTATTCACTCAGTGTTCATTTCTCCACGTTCCAAGTATTCATGGACCATTTCTCTAAAACCACGATGAATATCAAGAAGAACAATCTACAAATATTTCCTGGAAAAATGGTCATTCTTCGCCGCCCTCTTTCGATTTCAAACAATTTGATTTAAAATTCTATCAGCGTCCAATATCCAATATTTTTCCTAATTTATATGTTTCTTTCGCTCATTTCATTTATCCATTCTATTATCTCTGTGGGGCAACATTTCCCGTTGCGAAAGATCATTACCATTTTCCTTCGATCAACAATTTGAAACTCAATTTTTATTCGTCCGATATCTCACTTCCTACGATCCAAACGGCGCCCGTGAATCGTTCCATTTCCAACCATTAGAATCACGGTGAATATCAAAGAATAATTCACAAATGTTTTCCGAAGTGAAGAAAACGGGCAATCACTTGTTATTTCTTAACGAGTACATTAACTCGGACGTATAGTATCTCGTCGAACCGAGTCTCAGTTAGCTGCTGTCATCGGCGACAAGTTCGTAAACTGTCTATGATGTACCGCACCTGGCTCCCTACTTACAAAATCGGACATCTTCGGAGGTTTTACCTTCTCGCTGAGTCTGCGCCAGCATTGGAATGGAACCTAATTTATTTTTCACCCGACTCGGTTGCAGCATCCCGATAGCAGCATTCAACGACACTTCTAATGACATTTCGGCGAATTTACCGTGGCTCGACACGCAAGTTTCAGCAAAAGATGCATGAAACGGCTGGCTCTGACATAGAAAACGAAGCTTCCTCGTGGGCGAATAGAAAAGACGAATCGAATCGATCTAATCGGTACTTTTCCCCCTAATTTTTCCCGAACCGCTGATCGGATTTTTTTCTCGTCCAATTAGCGATCCTCTGGTTACGGATTTAATTGCGAAAGTAAATGAGATATAACCGACTGGTTCTCCGAAGCTCGCTATCGATCGACTGGAAATGGCGGCGTTATAATTATATTTTGAGAGAGAGCACGCTACTTCTCCGCTTGAAATTTAACGAAAAATTTGAATGACAAATAACGACACATTTAGATGCAGCGACGTCGTCTATGGTTTCTCGAAACGTGAAGCAAAGTTCCCATAATTCGTATAATTCGCTCTGCGAGCTTTCGATGGCTTGAAAACTCGATCGTCACCGAATACGTTCCTCTTTTTTTTTTTTTCTTCTTTTTTTAACTTGTTTAAAATTATCAATTCATGGAACCTGTTTCAATTCCGTTTGAATTTCGTTCGAGACAATTCGAAGGTTAAACGGAAATTGGCCGAATTTTCCGATCGTTTCGAATCGTTGTATCGTGTGTACTCTTGATGTTTATTGTTCACTAACCCTCGACGCGTTTCTACTCGTGGAAAAAAAACCATGAGCGCCAACGAATTATTATCGACGAGCTGAACACTTTATTCAACAACTGAATCCAGTCGTCAAACGGACTCTTCGAACTTTATTAAGTTCGAAATTCTTAAACTTCTTTTCGAACCTCGGAAACTGCAATATTTCGTTTTGAATTTAATTAATTAAAATTCAGAATCCCCGAGTCGCGACTTTTCCCCTTTACTTTCAAAACTCGCAAATTGCAATTTTATCAAATTCAAAAACCCTTTCGACTCTTATTTCAGAATTCTCCAATTGCCAATTGTTTCCTTTTCGACTTTACGAACCGCGAGACACTTGGACTGCAATTCTGTGTTTCTCGAAAACTCTGTAGAACCAAAAAAAAAAAAAAAAAAGAATAAAAATTCTCAGAGTGCGACTGCCTTGACTTTCAACCTCCGCGTGACGAGCAAGAAAAAGAAAAAGAAAAAAAAAATAATGATACGAACGGCAACGAGTCAGTGTGGAAATAATCGGCGAAGTTTGAAACGCGAGGATTCGACGAACGCGTCGAGTGTCAGCGTCGACGTGTGGCTGACGGCCTGTAAATGTGCGACTTCTTTCTTCCAACGGGCTTTGAACATTCATGCTTTGTCTTACAGGGTATCGACTAACAATACTTGGTATCTGGTTGAGTAAGGGCGAGGGGGGCAAACACTACCTGCGCAAAAGGACCTCAAAATGAACAGCTAATGATAAAAAGGGCACTCTCTGTGTTACGGTGGATTTCTAAGAGAAATTGGGATTTATCTGGCGGGGGAATGGTCGGCTCGCAGCAAAATGCTCACGTTCAATTGTAAGACAGCATTCGAGGCTTGTGGATGCCGGCGAAAAGTTTCCCCGCGATGTCGATCGATATCGGTCTCTTTCTCTCTCTCTCTCTCTCTCTCTCTCTCTCTCTCTCTCTCTCCTCCCTCCGCCATCTATGCTTTTCGCAGAAAAACCGAACGACCGCGATCTTTTATTTATTCCGTTGAATCTCTTCGAGTCGGACTGTTCGTGAAAAATTCAGAAGGCAGCAAACTCGGAGAGCCTCGCGTTGAAAAATTTAGAACGATATTCGCACCTGTGCGTACGTTTAATTTACCCCCTGATCATGCTACTATTTTCACGCGTCACGAGACACGACGTGCTATTTATCGCGTCAGAGTGCACTGTTGTAACTTTATATCCTTCTTCTGCGCGACATCGATATCTCTCGCAGGCGGGAAGACATTGAATTTAAAAATGATTGAAAGTGGTTGGAACATTTGGATAAAATCGATCGATGACGCGTAAGGGTTTCGCCGGCCTCCGTTAGCGACAGATCGTCTAAACATCACTCATTTCTTTCCCCGTGTACGTCTTCGTGTCGTATTCTAAGGACAAAGACGCGAGAGACAGAGAGGGGCACCGGAAACGGGGACGTGTTAATGTGTTTTCTGGGTGTGTGTATACCTATACATACATACTTGACGGATATACATGTATTACATATACATATACACACACACATATATATATATATATATATGTATATATGTCTCCATCGTCCCCGTTTCCATGCCTGGGAATTGAGCAAGCAAGCAAGCAAGCAAACTTTCGTCTGTCGTCGTCGAATTTGTACGAAAGGATCGCCGTGTTTTACTAGGGTGTCCTTTCCTTCCTTTCGTTCCGTTCTCTTCTCGTCCCCCTCTCTTTTCACGCCGATCGTCGACGATCCGCGCGACGATCTGATCCGCGGGCAACGTCGACATCGTTCTCGTGTTCTCTTTTCTTTCGTCTTTTTTTTTTTTATTTTTTTTACTTTTTTTTTTTTTGTTCTCCCCGCTCATTCACGTTCCTTAATTTTCTTTCTTCGATTTGAATGATCTTTTTTTTTTTTTTGTTTCGTTTTGTTTTCCGTCGTTACTTGGTCTCTGGAGGGTGAGAAGCGTGAGAGAATTCGGGGACACCCTATGTATGACTGACCCACGTGGCGAGATTGTTCTTGTTCTTTCAACTCGTTCGATGCTGGGGGTTTCTGATCCGAATTTGTCCGAATTGGTGAAAAATCAATGGTCGAACGACGTTGACAAAATTTCATCGACGAACACGACCTGCCATTTCATTCAGTTTGTTTCTTTTTTCGTTTTTTTCTTTTTTTTTTTTTTCTCGGCCCAGCACCGTCCACAGATAATCTCGCACCATTCTCGATTACTACCCTGTTCCTTCGAAGTTTTACGCTCCGAAAACGGCGCCCCGGTTACGCCCAGGAACGTCCGCGGTGAGATGTTCCCGGAAACGGGTGTTGGGGCGCCGGAGAACAGACTCGAAGACGCAGAACGGAGGGGAAATTCGTTTTGTCAACATGATGTCTCGTGTTTTACAATAGTGAATAATAATAATAATGAATAATAATTAACAGTAACAATAATAATAATATATAGAATATATATATGTTGGCCATGCAATAATGCTACTGTACATATATATATGTATATATAGAGACTTGAGATAGCCCGGTGGCGTTTTATTGAGAAATTTCTCTCTTTCTGTTTCTCTCTCTCTGTTTCTTTCTGTTCGACAATTTCGCCGGCACACCGTGTGATACTGTGTGTATCATCCCCCCTCTTTTTGCTTTAATCTCTCTCTCTCTCTCTCTCTCTCTTTTTCTCGTTCTCCTCCAAGTCTATCTTTTCTTCGCTTTATTCGTCTTTCGTTCTCGCGTTATTCCGCCAGGAGGATCTCGATATTGTTTTCGAATTTCACGAGCAGCCTTCTATGCACGCCCATATTCCATTTTTGCTCTTTCTTTCGGTAAGTTTCATTTCAATTTGTGATCAAGAGTCTGTAGCGGAAGGGTGTTTCGGTGGTGTTTTTTTTTTTTTACAGTCCTTACACCGCGAGTGTGATCGAAGGTTATAGCTCCTCTTTCTCTGCCCGCAACAAGCTCTCGCGCGTGATCTAAAGCAATTTATTTCATTCTTACGTATTCCAGATCAAGCTGGTATCACAATATACAGATAAAAACCTGGAACGTTCGTCTGTTTTATTTACCAATGTCTTCTTTTATGAATAGCGACGAATATTACTCTCATCAATTTCGACTGAGAAAATTCCCCTTTCCACGTCGTTAGGAAATTCACAACTAAGCTCAAGGGTTTGATCTCGTCGACAAGAAATAGGTCATAGATTCTAGACAGAGTGTGAATAATTCATTTGTTCTTTTTTTTATTCCTTGTCAGCGTCGTTAAGCAGTTTATACAGGATATTTCTTTTACCTGGTTCACGTTTTCTTTCTCCTTATTTTTGCTAAAGTTGCCGACAAATACCGCGATTCATTTCAATTTCGTCGAGAAAATTTTGATCTCTTTCAAATTTTCATTGTCGTTTCCATTTTTTTTTTTGATAGTGACAACACATTTTTCTTCCCGTATTATCGTAACCGCAAAGAAATGCATTTCAGAAACGTATGATGACCTGGTATTTGATAAATGATCATGGTAATTCGATGGAATTATTTTTTAATGTTTATTTTACAAGAAGTAATGAAGAAGAGAAATAAATTCACAAACGATCAAGAAATAAATTTACAAAGTCGATACACGATGCATAAAAAAATGACGTTGAAAGCTCCAATTATTGCTCGAGAAACGACGGTATACTTAAAATTCATTGTACACTTCAATGTTCATTGCATTGTACGTTAGAAGAAACATGTAACGTATTGTATATTTTGTTTTTCTATGTATCTTCGAAATAAATACAAATGTTTTGACAAAATGAACGTTTAGAACAAAAGTAGGAAAATCTTTGATTGATCGTCCTTCTTGAAATTATTATTTTTTCGTACCGGGTCGTTCGAAGGTCAACGCATTGTACATGCCTGAAGTGCATTTTCTTCCGATTACGACAGAAACGTATCGTCAAAGAGCGACCGTAACCTTGAAAACAAATAACTTTGTCGAGAAAACACCAGTTTTACTAATAAAAATAACGAAGATTCGAGGTAAAAGAAACACTCTGTATACGAGAGCAAGGTTTCATATTTCTTTCCGACGAGAAATAGCGAGTAGACTATAGTTCCAGACAGAATGCGAATAGCCCGTAGAAATCTCCTCGTTTTCCCCGAGGTTTCAATAACGAGAAAAGAGATTCTACGAGAAAAAGGAGCCATTAAATAAAGTTTTGCAATTGCGAATGGCATATTCAGTGGTAATTTTCACGAAAACACGAAGATCCATTTCCAACGGAAACACCCCCAAACACTCCCATCGATAATGCTCAATTTCCATAAATTTTGTCTCGAGGATCGAAGCGACCACCACGTTGTTCGCATGTCTAACCGGTGACAGTCCTCGCTCCACTTGCGCGAAGACGCGGTTAGCGAGAAAATTCGTGGCGAAACGGGAGAGAAAGAAAGGGTCGGAGGAGAATCGTCGATGGTTCGCGACGTCGCGAGCCTCTTTCGCTGTACGGCTGTTCGAAACGCGATCGACAATCGAGCAGGTCGCGTCCTCCACTCTGAGGGAAAGCAACGTACATGCTGTGCCCATTGTGCTCTGCCTTCGTTAGCTTCGAAACCACCAGGAAAAAGAACAATCGTTGTGAAAAAAGTAGCCTCGTTGGTTAATCAACAATTGGAACTCTGTTCTTATTATTCTGCCTCTGATCGAATTAAGTTCGACAATTTTTTTTCGGAGACTAGAAGCACTTTTTTGCCATCGGTTTTATATTACGTTTCTTGCGAGCAATTCTTTTATAAATTTTATATTCTCTAGTTTTATTTTTTACAGTGAGTCTAGAGAGCAATTGTACACACGATGATGAATTGTTGAAAACTCCAAACTCTTGTAACTTTGTGAAAAAGAAATCGTATAACAAATTTATTGCAGAGGGAAGAATTCAATTTTCAACATTCGTGATAGATTTAGGTAATTTAAAAGAATTTTTGCAGCCTATAACGACGTTTGAATTTACGAAATTTTTAGAGATTTAGAAGTAAAGTAAGATTTAGAAAAAAAGTAAAATCTTTGAAGAAAACGAATTCAGTATTGTAAAAGTAAAAATTACATATTGAAATAAGTTTATTTTACAAGTTGAAATTGTTTTGCGATTTTTTTCTCACAAAATTGTAAGAGTTTGAAATATCGACGAATACTTTTCACATTCACTGTAAATGATTTTCGTTCTAAAATAATCGAAAATTATTGTCACCTTTTCCCGAAACTCTCATCCGTCCCTTGTATCAATTTTTCTCATGAAATGTTATATTATTTTTATCTATTTTTCTAACAAACGGCAATTTTTTACATTTTTTGATAACAAAAGTTGCAGATAATATTTATTTTTAAACACATTGCTACAATTAATGCATTCGATGCACCATCCTTTCAAAGATGCATATATACAAGTAACAAGTAAAAATCCAAAACAAATGAATTAATTAAAATTAAATATATTATATAATTGAAATAAAATTAATAAAAAATTCTTAATATAAAAATTAATGAAAATTAAATAAGGGAATTAAAATTAATAACTATAAATTAAAGTGCCAGCAATAGCGGTTAAACTTATAAGTTAATAGTTAACAAATTTTATTAAAATAAATAGTATATATATAAAAATTAATAATTATAGTTGAAATTTAAATTATTTATGTATATATAATTTTATATATTAAAATATATGAAAATTAAATATTAAACTAGGATTAGATACCCTATTATATTAATATAAAATAATATTTTTATAATTAAATGTTAAATCATTAAAATAAAGTAAGATGGCGGCCTTTTAAACTTTTTAGGGAAATTTGTTATTTAATTTGATAATCCACGATAAGAAATACTTAAATTATATTTATGTATTGTTATTATAATTTATGAATAAAAATATATAAATAAAGATTTTATAAAATAATATTTTAAATCAAAATGTAGTATATTTAAGAATAAATGAATTATAAAAAATTTAATTTTTAGATAACTATTTTTAACATTAATTTGAAAGAGAATTTAATAGTAAATTAATTGTTTTAAGTAAAAATCCAAAACTAGAGAAGATAAGACTATGGTATGAGACTAAACGCGTATATGTGGAAGTTTTATACCCGATTGAATGAAATTTCGATCAATTTATTGTGAGTCTGAGAAAGAATCTGCCAAATTTCACCATTTACCTTTCCATATGGCAATTGTATGAATTTGGTATTAACAGATGAGAGTTTATACGCATTGAAAAAGTGGTCGAACATTGTCATTACTTTTATATTTACATTTCACGGATGGTTCAGAGCGGATATCCAACGAGGTTAAAATTTCAACTAGGATTCTCGTCTTGAAGAGAAGAAGAATCCAGGAAGCGGACGGTGGTGCCGAAAGACGTAGGCTCTGAGGCCTCGTCGCCAGAATGAAAGATAGTTGGCGTTAAAAAAAGCCAACCCCTTGCCTACGTGGCTTCCAAAAGGGTGGCTCGTACAGTGGAGTGCCAGTCGAGAGGGTGACTCGTGTCATCAGCGAGGCCGCGCGCACAATACGTCGGCTTAAATTTACCGAAACCGTGGCGAAAGATCGCGAAAGGGACAGTATCCCCTTGTATAAAAAAAAAAAAAAAAAAGAAACACATACATCGCTTCATTGACCGATTTCGTGACTCACGAAGATTTGAAAATAATTTCGTTCGGAACGCCTTTCAGCGGACTCGTCGCTTTCACAGGACTCCATTTGTTCGACATTTTTTGATATTTCAGTTTTTCCATTCTTTTTTTTGAAATTCCTTTTGTGCTTCCTACGCGGTTTAGAAATTCCTTTTTTTCACCAATTTTCTACAACTCTCGTGAAACTTTTGTTTGAATTGTTCTCCCAACGTGTGAATTAACCAGAAGTTTCTGTAATTGTCACGGGATTATTGAGAGATGTAACAATTTAGATTGTTACTTGTGGAATTTTCAATTTACTATACTGTAGAAGACATAGAATAAAATATAGAGTCTAATGCTATAATGCTTTAAATTATTATAATATTTTGAATTATTGCAGTTATTTATGAGCCAAAATTATAATTAACATTTATTAATATTTATTAATAAAAGTTAAAATTATAATTAATATTTAATAAAAGTTAAAATTAATTCTGACCTGATCAATCTTATCAATTGCGATAAATAAATCATTCATTGGAAATTATGCCTTAGGAAAAAAGTAACAGATCTATAAATCAAAGAAATTATTACACTTCAGAGAAAATTCTAACAGATTAATTTGTATAGCACAAATTTTCTCCCATTCTTTCCCTCAATTTTGATATTCTTTTAGTTTGACGTTTTCAAGCAATTATTTCACATGCTGGTGATCGTGGCAATATTCAACGATGAATAATTACAGTCACATGTAATGATATATTCACGACGGGCAAGCACAAAATTCGAAATTTCCAGGATGCAGAACGTTAATTAGGAAGGTTCGATTCGCGAGAACTAATTTCGAGATAAATCGAACGCGTTTCAGAGTCCTGATACCAACGATCGAGCCCACTACGCCGAGGCCTC